AGAATAAGAAGATATAAGGTGGGCTCAGTCACATTTAAAAATACATGAATTTTTATCAAATAACTTTAGATTGGGTTATAAATATGTTAATTTATTGTTATTACACATTTATATAGCCATTCATAACTCTTCTTCTCCGACTGGTGGAGGTTTGCATAGGGCTCCGAGTCTCCCTTTTGTCTGTTCTCATCCGTACCTCTGCAATCCCTTTCTCCTTGATTTCCTCCTCTCTCTCTGAAATATAAACCGGAACAGGGCAGCTGAACAGCCATACTTTGATGGGCATCCTAACAGCCAGTCATTACAGGTAAAAACATAATTTAAAAAAAAAGATGAAACCTGCCTTCTGCAAGAAATTGAAAGAGGACAAAACTTTCTCTTGTGGGAAAGTTTTTTTTATCAGAAATAAGACTAAGTGAAATATTTATTTACAGTATGCATTTAATTCTTATAAGTCTGAATTTCAAAATTTTGGGAGCCTGGATTTAAAGTCCATTTTCCTTTTTTTTTTTTTTTTTGGTATAGGAAAGGAAGATATATGGATAGTAGAAAAGAGAAATAAATGCATATTATTACTGTTTACTGATAATGCTTTTAGAGTTTATATTTTGGGATGTCTGCTTTTCCTTGTTAAAGTGTCAAGCACAAGTAGAACTGAAGAATCTGAAACTAAATTCCCTCTGGGGTCAGAACTCATCAAGTTATGGCTTGGCTATAATCCAAGACTACCTTCGAGATGTGCTGGAGGATGTTAAATCAATATTACATTTTACTAAATCCTTGACATACCTTTGCAGCTTCAATCTGAAAAAAGACATCCACTTTTTTTGTGAAAACATTGAAACAATACTTTTGTTATAGTAACTTAGGTTTTATTTTTTCTTAAAGGAATTGGTGGAAATTAGGGCTATAAATTATATGGCATGTTTAAATTTATGAAACAATAAAAAGTGTAGCTTGGAATCCAGAACCACTGCTGTTTTGTCATGGAGCTTTCAAGCTTTTTGTTACCTAAAGAAACACTATCAGCTGTCAAAACATGTGGTTAATTCCATTGAAATGAGTGCATGAAGCTAGCCTTAGAATAAACTTACTTAAAATTAAATTTCAATATAGTCTAGCATTCCTCCAGTGTGCTTGTGGTTGAGCTCTTCAAATAAATGAGAAATTATATTTACAGTATTTTAACTGTGCCCTAGGATTTTTTTCCCCATGGTTCTTCAGAGTTTTTTAATCATGAAGTATTGTTGATTGCAGTCACTCAACAGAAATATAAAACTATACCATACATGTGATTCTTAATAGTCATAATTTATTTGTAAGACTTACACATAAAAGGTTGCAAATAAAAATAACAAAATAAAGAACAAATAAACAAGGTCAATAAACCTCTAGCTAGCCATAATTTCTTTATTTTTAAGAATTGTACATAAGAGTTTGTAAAATGAAAAAGTTACAAGTTTGGGGAATGGTGTGTGCTAATGAAAATTAATTCTCAAGATTTTATATAGACACACACGTTAAAATAATGATGAAATTTTGTGCTGATCGTATTCTTTGACCTTTGATTCTTTGAGCGCAGTAAGGCTTCACAATAATAGTTTCTTTGTATCTGTGTATATATAGGGCACACATTCCATTTTTTCTATGCTCATCTACTTCATCAGGTTGTACACCAGCAGGTTTTATGGTTAATCTTATCTTAATTTTGATTAGTTATTCTATGTTTAAGAACACTAAATTATTTTAGGACATTACAAGGTTCTAATTAGGCTGCTCTTTTTCTTTTTTTCCTTTATCCCCTTCTTTTAGCTTATTAAGCATAACTATCACATTATTTAGCTCATCAATTTACTGTATTAAACTTATTACTTATTATATTACCTTTGAGCTGGACAGATTAGGTTAAATCACCAAATGGAGAACTTGGTAAATGTAGTTTGTGTTACAGGCCAACAAATCTAAGGCTTGTGGATAAAATTAGATTTTTTTTATTAGAATCCTGGGATTCACCACCACAAATGGTAGAATTAAAATGTGTATCAGCACCTGAATTTGATGAACTTCATGTTTCTACAAAAGAAAACCCAATTCTGTTTATTCAAACTTTCTTCATTTAAGCAGAATACATCATTTTGTTGCTGCTCTTAAATACAACTATTGATTTTGTAAGGACCCACCCCACTTTGCATCTTAAGAATACAGAACTCTTGGAATCTTTCTTCCAACAGGCATCTTTATTAAGAGAAATTGGTTGCAGGCATTCTAGACAGGACTTGGGGTCCAAGTTCTTCCATTCAAGGTTTTAAGGGGTTCCCCAGTAGCCCCACCCCATCACCCCCTTCTTCCAGCGACAGTCCCAGGCATTACATTCCCATCTCCTTTCTCTCACTGTCGGCAGGAGGTAGACTTCAGAGAGGAGTACATGAAAAGTAATAGCCCCATTGTTATGGTTAGTCCTTTTGGTGGTATCCACATCCAGTCTCTTTGAAGTGTACTGAAGGAAGTGAGGGCCATAAAGCCCCTTTGTTCACCCCCTTCCCTTCATCGTATGACAGAATCCAGAGAAGGCAGGAATGGGGTTTTCCATAGTTGATAACTAGAGATGAAATATAAATCCTTACAGATTTATTGATTTGATTTTTTGCGAAACACTCAGAGATTTAATAGCAGGGCTTTATATCCAAAAGCAAAAAATGTTTTAGGGTCTGTAGGAAAGCTATTATAGCATCTGCCTGCAACTTTCTAAAGCAAAACTGCCCATCTCAAATATTACACAAACATCTCCATCTGCTCTAAGGCACTAATTTACTTTCAAGTCCAAAACACTACACAGATCTATTTGTCATTTTGTCTTCTACTGTTGAAACAAAACATTGTCCTTTTTTGAGAATCAAAATTATTTATGAATGTCAGCTGCTTGAGGTGTGCATGTAAGGATACAGACTCTATATAATTTCTCCGATATAATTTCCGTGTCTCTATTGTGACAAGCTGCAAGAAAGTTCCGTGGAGTGAATTCCGTAGGGGGAAATTTACAATCTAAACTTACCATGTTCTGTTTCCAGCTAATAATGAGATCTAGTTCTCTCCAATGATAATCCTGTCTCTGAACTATACCCCTTCTGAATCCAGCTGGAGGCTCAGTGTGATTGATCATCATGCAAAAGTAACATAGGGTATTTGTAAGTTAGAAAGAACTCTGTAGTATTTAATTATGTATAGGCAGATTATAGTTTTGTAATATTGAACACAACATTACTTTATGCTCTTACTTGCAATAAGAAGTGGTATAGCCCAGAAACATGCTTACTGTACCACCTATTCTACTACTTATAAGAATGAGATCTGAATAATCCGAATATGAAATGCTTTTTATATGGGATCAATAAATACTCTCTCTTAGAAAATAAGCAGCACAATGGCTCAGTAGTTAAGATGCTGGGCTTGTTGACTAGAAAGCCAACAGCCCAGGTTTGAGACCCAAGCACAAGGTTCTAATTAGGCTGCTCTTTTTATTTTTTTCCTTTATCCCCTTCTTTTAGCTTATTAAGCATAACTATCACATTATTTAGTTCATCAATTTATAACAGGGTGAATGCCTGTCTTTGCCTAGCTTCTACCCCCCACTCCCCCAGCAGTTTGAAAGCATGCAGATGCAAGTAGATAAATAGGTACCACTTCGCTGAGGAGGAGACAGCACTCTACAATGTCATTCTGGCCACATACCGTGGAAACGTCTTCGAACAGCCCTGGCTCAATGGCCTTGAAATGGAGATGAGCATCACCCCCTATAGTTGACAATAACTAGTGGAATAAAATCCACAGGAACTCCTTTCCTTTGAAAACGAAATGTATCTTTAAGAAATAAATGAAAGGTGAAATCACATTTTCCATGCAACTTCCAAAGACTAAAAACTACTTTATTATTCAGTTGTTGTAAGAAGTACTGTAGATATGACTGCTGCCTTCTTTAGGCTGATGTATTTTTTTACCCCAAGATGTTTGGCCATTAAATTATATCAAAGTGAAAAACCTCACCACTTACTTTGGGAGAAGAGACTTTGTCCAATATTCTGGCCAGAATATTTATGCTATTCTGAATTCATTAAGTTTTAGCACCCATAAACCATTCCCCCTCCCAACCATATACTTAGAAATATTCTTCCATGCTATTTTTTTTTTAAATTGGTAAGATTTTAGTTGAAGTCTGCTGGAAACTTTGAATTTATGAAGGAATTTATATTTTCTTAAGGTGTTAGCCTTTGATGCAATTAAACTTTGCAGCATGTTTTGAAGAGATTTTAATCACATGTTTAGAATGATGTATTGTATTGCCTATTTGTTCAGAATCTGCAATAATGAAAATAGCTCACCTGGTTTTATATACTTTGTAAATATTATCCAGGTCTGTTTTTAAATTATTAAGTTTTGCTTATTAGATTTCTACCACATTTTTCTTTCTGGAATTCAAGGTAAAAAAAAAGGTAAAGGTGTCCCCCGCTAAGTCATGCCCCTTCCTTCAATTTTTACTCAAGAAATCAGCCTGAAGTAGGCTGGCCTGAAAGAGACTGAAGAGCAATTGCTGGTCAAAAGCTTTCTAAAAAACATCTGGGTCCTGGATCTTCCCAGTCCAAGCCTTTATACCACACTGGGACTGTGGGTAATGCTTGTCATTGCATACTAATTTGTTCAAGTTGTTTCTCCCACCTCATTAGATTCACTCTTAAGGATTATGTTGTAAATAGGGTCATATTCAGGTAGTAGTAATGCTTGAGTTATACATAAATGGACAGAAACCAGAAAAGAAATTCAGGCATAATATTAATATTGTTTGGGATTTTGTGTTATCTACTTGCTCAATTACAGTAGAATTTAAAGATACTGTCTTTCCGAATAACTCAATTGTGACAGAAAAGAGAATTGTAACCATTTACACTGTGAATTTTATTCCTGAATTTTGTACTATACTGACTCTTTCTCTCTCTCTCTTTCTTTAGTGAGGGGACAGCAGAGGCAGTAGCAATAGATTCTCTTGGCCAGCCGAAATCTCCATTGGAAAAAATTATGGTCAGACTGTGCACATACCACCAGAAACACTTCGTCCGTGTCCTGAATGACATCTGCACTGAAGTACAAACAGGCTATGAGGGCCAGCAGTTATCTGGACCTGAAAATATGGATGTGTCTACTTGTAGTTCAGGGTGCAGCCAATATCATATTGAGAACCAGGAGCGTGGAACCTCTTGCTCTGAGTCAAAACTTCCTCTGTTGCTGGATGCAGAACCATCAGAGGCCCGTGGTTCTTTGAGAATACTATGCCATGCACTGAAACATGCTTCAGAACTGAAATCTACAGACAGAAGAGAAAACCTCAGTTCTATTGTCAGAAGAGACTTCCCTGAGCTTCCAACTATTAGAACAACTTCTATAAGTCCCAGAGATAGTCCCACCCAAGGGTACCTCACTGCCTCCAATACCCATCACTCTATTAAAAATCTGGAAGGGCAGACCTCCGCTACTGAGCAAGAGATGGGGGTTAGGAAAGGTGAAGATGACAAAGATCAGGTGCAAAGTAGAGGTTTACAGGGAGGCTATGTAGCTGTGAAAGCAACAAATGTACACATTAATGAGGAGATTTTAGAGAATAGGGTAGGTTCTTTGAAGAACCCTTTCAAAGCTTTCTCAGAGGAAACTCGAGAGCCAGCTTTCACCACTAGCTCTCCACGGAGAGCAGACAAAGAGAATGCCTTGCAGTGCAGCTCCAAAGCCTCTGTGTACCAGGATACTGAAATCAATGACCAAGAAACAAGATCAAAGGTAGAGAATCACTATCTGGCTTCAGGGAAAAGCAAGGGAGGCTGCCACATGCATCCTGTTGACAAGACTCATGTGGAGAATGCCAAAGACATTTGGCTGCCTATTAATTCCATGCCAACAGTGCACCACAAAACCACCAATGGGCACTCCCGGGTCAAGAGTATTTCAGCTTCTGCTAAAAGTACACGTAAAAGCAAGAAGTCTTCAGGGCTAAGAATAAATGACTATGATAATCAATATGATGTTGTCTATATTAGCCAACCAATTACAGAATGTCACTATGAGAATAAAAAGACAGTATCAGCAAGAAAGACAGCAAGGAAGAGCACTCGTGGATATTACTACAATGGTGAGTGTTGTGAGCTTCCTACTATTCGCACCTTGGCCAAGACTTCGCATTCACAGGAGAATGGGAACACCCTGGAAACAAGGCCTGAGGTGCTAACAAGTCCTATCCAGGGCACTGTTCTTCCAAGTGGCAGCTATTTGGCTGCAGCTGAACCTGTGGGTAGCAATGATGATCAAAGATCTTCCACAACGGCCCCTATTCAAGAAGATTCCTTCAACGAAATAAGACCTGAACAATGCTATTATGAAAGCATCTCTTCTGAGGTCAATGTCCTGAAACAGAGAGAGGTTAGTCTTGCTGAAGAAGCTACCATGCCTGTTTCTCTACTTCCCTGCCCTATTTTTCATTCAGATAAAGACAGCTTGTTGGTGTCTTCACTGGAGACCATGACTGTCTCTTTTCCTCAACAGAATGAAGGGGACTTGCAAGACAGTACTAGCATGCTGGAGGCACATAGCTCTGGCTCTGATTCTTATAACTGTAATAGACCTAAAGAAAATAGTGACAGTATAGCAGACTCTGTTGTACATTCTGTCTCAGAAGCTGCTAATGATAAAACAGCTTCTCTGTTCTTGGGAAATGTGACTATCCCAGAACCGCCAATTTTGATAGAACCAGAACCCCATATTAGCATGGATCTGTTGATGCCTGAAGTATCTGCCAATAGCATGGACTTGTTGCCTCCACTAGATGAGCCTGCTTCTGTTATAAATGTATCACCATCTATAGAACCCCCACTACTTTCCCCTATAGACTTGGCAGAACCCTCAGTAGTACCACCTGCTCTAGATGTTCTGGAACCTTGTATGACATTTCCTTCAGAGATTCCCTATATTCCCAACAGTGTATCACCTGTGCAGCTTGTTGCCAGCCCAAGGAGTATGTCTCCTGTAATTCATCCTACCAGTGGGGTGCCTGAACTTCCTGCTCATATTGACCTAGAACTTTCAGAGACTCTTTCTGCAGAACCTTCAGTGGTAGCAACTATCAAAATGGATGTGGAGCTTCCCCAGCTGCTTTCCAATTTAGAAGCAGCAAAGCTGCCTCTCAGTTTGGATTGTACTAACACACTCGAAACCAGTGTTGAAAATTCCCAGAATTTGAAAGAAGGACTCTCTGTTGAATGTAAAAATGTGCTGCCCATTGTGGATGCCAATGAAGATAAGAGAGAGAAAAATATAAATGATACAATAGACATCAGTGAGACCACCAAGTCTGATGAGGAAATGGAGGCTAATAGTGAAATTCCAGTAGAGCTCAAAACATCAGAAAAGGACAAGAAAGAGACTTCTTCCAAAACAAACATAGACAAAAAACGAAGGCGGGAGAAAAAAACCCACATTGTTTCAGATCGCTGTCTTCGAAGCCAGCAGTCTCTGGCGCCTACAGAGGACAGTTCTGAACAACCCTGTTCTTCCAACTCTCTTCAGCTTCCGCAGCTACAGATAAAGCTTTCTAAAAATCCTGGTGCTAAGCGTTTTAAGAGAGAGGTACATCTTGATGGGGCAACATCTGTGTGTGTTCCTAATGACAGACTCCATCACACACTGCTAAATGACAGTAGCAAATCTATTGAACAGCAGGCAGATGAGGGAAATGACATCACAATAAGGCAGACCTATAAGAAACTGATGGCAAAGGAATCTGTAATAGAAGGAAGCCAGAATGGAGAAGATAACAAAGATAAGCCAGCAGCAATGCTTGAAATTTGCTTAGAAGCCAGTTCTGACAAGAGAAGTGTTCATGTTCCAACAGAGATGTCTGATAAGACCAAAAAGCAGATAGATTTAAAGCCAGAAAGTTTAGAGAATTCTGACAGTCCTATGAATATTATTGAAGTATTGTCCAACCAGCATGAAGCAAGTAGCTTCACATGTCCTAGTAGCAAGCATGTACGGCCAGAGAAGACAATGAAATGCAAGAAACCAGCCCTACAGTTCTATAACTTGAGACACACTCCTACTACATCTCATGTGGTCACTGCCACAAAAAATACATCAGAAAAAACAATTGTACAAGCAAACTCTGATATCATGACCACATCAGCAGATCCTGTTGTCGCAGATGAACCAAATGCAAAAAATGAAAACTCTGTTGATTTTAACAGCATAAAAGTACTTTCTGACAAGCCCAGATTTGTGGAATGGTGTGCTGAGGAAGACAACCAAGAGCTCATCACTAACTTTAATGCCCATTATATGAAGATTCAGAAAGGCTGGATTCAGCTGGAGAAGGAGGCTCAGCCAGCTCCAAAGGTCAAGAATAAATCTGACAAGTTGAAAGAGATTTGGAAAAGCAAGAAGAGGACTCGAAAATTTAAAGGATCCACTGACGTCCAGAAATTGTCCCCTGTTCAGATGCTTTTCATGAAGAGTTTTGATATATCCAATATCTGTAAATGGTTTATGGAGACAACTGAAACCAAATCTCTGGTCATTGTGAAGAAGCTGAACACACGTATTCCAGGAGACATTCCTCTCATGAAGCTTCCACTCCAGAAGGGTTGTTCTTCTGGCATCTATCCCAGTTCTCTCCAAGCAGAGCGTCTAAAGAAACACTTAAAGAAGTTTGCTGCTATGACCCCAGCAAAAAATACTATAAAGATTCAAAAGCTGTGGACCAGACTTCGAGAGAATAGTGATCAGACTGAGTCAGAGCAGATTGTCAGTCCAAAGGAGACATCTCCCTCTGAAGTCAGCTTGGCACAATGTATTGGACCCAAGAGCATCCAGCCTTCTCCTAGCATGCCGGTGCAGACTAGCTCACGGATCTTGAGGAAATATTCCAACTTGAGAGGCAAACTTCATGGATTCCATAGAGTGGTCAAACAGGAGAGGCATGACTCTGTGTCCAAGCACCTCTTGGCCGAAAGCAATTCAAGCAACAAGAGCATGTGCATTAAACCCTTGATGTCCCCCAAGTTGGCCCAGCAAGTGAAAGCCATCCAACTTCCTACTAAAACCACTCTGATTGAAAAAAGAGGAAAGGGGAGAAAAGGGAAAGGAAAGTTACAGGAGGACACCTCCACTAAAGGCAACCTTCAGCAAAGCAAAAAGAAGACACCAAATGAGAATATCAGGACGCTGGCCCTGGGGCAGTTGAGTCCTTCAAGCAAGGAAAGAATTTCTTTTAAGAAAGTCAGTAAAGTGAAGCAAGTGGGAGCTCCAGCTACTAGAAAGCAGACAGCAGCAGGAAGAAATAGTAAGCACACCTCTCAGAATGAGAAGTCAAAGAAACTAATTGACTCACAAGCTGGGAAAAAAAAGGCTCCCACCCACATGGGGAAAGCCAATACCAGTCAAAAGGCCAGCCTGCTCTCTAAGCAGCAAGGGCTTATAAAGGCTCTAAAGGAGAAAATGGTGCGAGATCCCCCCAATCAGTCTCTTAAAAAGGCAAGCAGTGAGAAAGCTCTCACCAGGTCAGTGAAACGAATTCAGGGGAACAAAACTCGGAGCAAGAGGAAGCTGAGGGCAAAGAAAGAACCTTCTCCCAGCAAACGCAGGCGACTGGATGCAAAGTAGCAACGTCTTGGGTAGGAAGGGTGTCATAGAAACTCTTCCTCTTTCTTTCGGTAGTTCCACTGCTGAACAGGGAGGGAGGGAGGGGTGTTTGGGTATGGCTAAAGGCCAACTCCCTCTTGCTTTTTAAGGAGCCTTCGATTTGTGTTGCATCCAGAGAGGAGCACCATTTTTCTAAATCACAGAGAAAGAAAAGTTGAAAGTTCCTGGAGTTGAACTGGAAGCATGACGGTTTCAGTTCAAAGTACAGTGCCTTATTTATCATTTTAGGAAACAAATAAATTTGTCTGCTTGATTTGAAGCTAGCAGTTTATGGGTTAATGCACATGCACTTGTACTGTAATGGAAAGAGAACCACCTGTCATGCACATCCCACAGAGTTTGATGGCATGTCTGCTAAGCTTCAGACAGGAACGTTTCCTTCCTTTTGTGCATTGTAGCATACTGACACTGTTTAATTTGAGCAGGGCATTATGAAGCCTAAACCCAAAGCTGTTTCCTCTAATTACATTCTTCACTAGCAGGTCATAATGATGGATTTTATAATTAAGTTATTAATAATTACCTATGTGATGTAACTTTGGGCTTTAGGATTTGGCTATAAGCTAGCCAGGTTTTGTGTCAAAAAGATCTTTTTATGTTTTCAGTGATGATCAGCCATGCTTGGCCTACCCAAGAAACTAGTCTTGTTGGATGAATGGAAAATGTTACTCTAAGTAGAGATTGCTTGCCTCATGGAACTTTGCTCTATACCTTAAACACCTTAAAGGCTACATTTTAAAATGCTGCCTCAATTTCTGTTGGAGTAGTTCTGAAATGTATTTATCCCAACATTCCTGGGGTGGTTTTTTTTGGGGGGGGGGAAATCCCTGTTTAAAATACTCCTGAATTCATAGGCATATTATGATGCTAAAATGAAGTGTATGGATCTCAAGAAAAAAGTATCTGTAAAGAAAAAGCATTGGAAGATGCTCTTGTCAGAGATCTTTCGTTGCTGAAGATTTTTTTAAAATATCTTTAAACTATGAAGTTGCTGTAAGTTCCTTTTCCATAGAGTTCTTCAGGTATCTGAAGGCTTTTTAAAAAGTAAAAACATGATAATGCTGGTTGTGAATAAAGTAGCAGCTGGAACTTTCTGGTACTTTCACAAATATATGGGTTGCAACTTAACATGAACTAAATTTCTCTCTGCCTCCCCCCCAAGAAGAGTGTAGGCTCACCCATTATTCATTAACTTTATATGCAATAGTCACTTTTCCAGTTCAGACATTTGTTTTGGATCAAATCAGAGGGAAAGCAATGTTTTCTCAAAGAAAACACCCTGTCTTGTGCTGCTCATTTGGGGGGTAACAGTAACTCCTTTTGCTCTGAGACTAGAGAGAAAAGGTAAGGACCAGCTTTTTATTTTATTTTTGTAGCTCTCGCTAAGCCACAACAAAGGTCTAGATCAGGGGTAGGCAATCTCGGCCTTTATGACTCATGGACTTCAACTCCCAGAATTCCTGAGCCAGCATAGCTGGCTCAGGAATTCTGGGAGTTGAAGTCCACGTGTCATAAAAGAGCCGAGGTTGCCTACCCCTGGCCTAGATAATTGCTTAGAAACTTGTGCAGACCTCCTCAGGTTTGCCATGTTTGACTCCTGAGAGCTTCCTGGGAAGGCCTTCAGATAGTTTGACCTTTCAGAATAGCTTGCCATGGATACCAGATGAGAACAACAAACTCAAACATCTTTATGCATTATTGTATTAACTGGCCTGAACCAGCCTTTCCAGGCGGTGAGGGGGTTATTGAATATAAGGGGGAAAAAACACTTTTGGGGGGAATGAATGTGTGAGGAAATTGATTTTTTTTTTAAAGGATAGAGAGTACGTTAGCATTTGTACTCTTATACCAAAGCTCATTACTGCAGGCAGAAAATTGATAACTAGCTGTTGTAAAGTTTCTCATTGATCAAGGAAATTGGAATTTGGTGTCTGAAAATATGAAGCCCTGTTGCTCACCCTCTTATCCAAGGGTGACTTGAGAGGGTGCCCTAAAGCTACAAGACATATCAGGGTGGACCCATTTTATATAATATTTTAAAATGACTTGATTTTTAACTTCTCTTTTCATTTAAATCACGATGTATAAAATTAATTGTCATAGGCATCAGGTTAGGCTTAATGTTCTCTGTAAAGATTCATATGAATTTGTCTGGTTGCTATTTTAATTGTAAATATCAAATGTGCTAGACATTCCACCAGGAGTATTAAAAATATTTAAGGTAATGTGTGAGCACATGTATGTGTATGGTGATGGCAAGGGGTTGCAAAAATCTTTCCCCCCCCCCAACTTTACATTATTACATTCAGATATGCATAAAACTTCCTGCTCCCTCTGCCCAGGGCTGCTTCCTAACCAACTGCTGGGTAGTTGGGGCATCTTTGGTACATCACTTCAAGATAAGTGATTCTGATTTAGATCTCTGCTAATAAAATCTTTCTACCACCTGTGCTGTCCCAGTTCTTGTGTGGTCTGGAGTCTGAAATGTTCCTTGTGTTAGCATTATGTAACATGTTTCAGCTTCAAATCTGTCCTGTTTTGCTGCACATACAAAGTTGCATAACTCTGAGAAATCCATCGGTTGCCAGGCCCAGAGTTGCTGATAGTTTTAGTTCAGCTTCTTACTATTTTTGGAGAAGGCCATGCCATCCCATACTTGAGTGCTCTTGGCTACCAACTGGACATGCCTTTTCTATGTATACAATCAAAATATTAGGAAAGAAGAGATTAACCAAGCAGTTCAAAACAGTTTAGGTACTTTTTTTTAAATATATGCAACTTGGTATAGAGAGCTAACAAGTCTTGAGATAAAAGAAAACAAAGTGTTATCTAATTGGAAGATGTAGTGCTCTGTTCTTCAGTCCCAGTGACACTCAGTTCATACCTGGCAGAGATGCTTAGCCTCTAATATTCAAATACCTTTTTTTAAGAGTTCCTTGGGATGTCCTTCAAAACACTTCTTTTTGATATTCGAGTCTCTTCATTAAAATGAACTTCGAAACTTGGCTTGTACTATTGCTGGGTCAGACTTTTCTTTTAGAAACTACAGATGTAATTATGTGCCTTGCATTTTACCTTTCCCCCATCTAATAGATATTAGGTATGTAAGGTGCAATTTCAAGTTTGATTACCATAGAAAAAAATCCCCAAACCTGTCCTGTTGTTTGACTTTTATCATATTTGCATCTTATCCCTCTTATTGTGGTCTTTTTCTTTGTCTACAATTCTTCCGACTGGCATGCTTCCGTTCTCTCTTAGTAATCCTATTCTTTATCAAACTCTTGATTCTTTGTGTTTGGGCATGCTAATGCATTCAGTAGTTTCTAGCTTAAACTCATGTAGTACATGAAGTGAGGAATTGTACCTTCACACCTTTGTCCATAACAGTAACTTCTACAACAATTGGAGCACTCACTTTTCTCTGTTTATGGCTTTTTCTTTCATCCTGTCAAACACATATTCTCAACATGTATGTGTTTTACTTTGAAATAATAATAATGAACTGGAAAAATAATAAAATACAATAGATCTGCAAAAAGAAGTAGAATAATTTTAACAAAAGAAAACATAGTACCAATAGTAGTAAGCTCCTTGGGTGCAATTTCAAAACATCTGGAGAGCCATTTGAGGACCATTGACATTCACAAAATCGCAAAAGATAGTTGTATAGGTAATCCTTCACTTACAACTACAGTGGACTGGAACTTTGTTTGTAAGCCATTATAGTCATAAGTTGAGGCACCAACCACCAGAATTGATTTTACAACCATTTTTTCCAGGTCATTAAGTGAGTCACCATGGTCGGTAAATGAACCATGTGGCTATTAAGCAAAGTCATAAGTGTGAACTCATTTTATCTGATGGGCATTTTTTGCATGAAGATGCAAAGTAATTGCAAAACATGATCATGGGAACATGGGACATGGCAACTGGTTATAAGTGCAATCCATTTGCCAATGCCTAAAATGTGATCATATGACTGCAGGGGTGCTGCATCAATTGTAACTACTAGGACAAATATAAGTAACTTTTTTTTTGAATCTGTCATAACTTCATACAGTTGTTAAGTGACCACTTATAAAGGACTAACTTTTTTTGGGAACAGGTTATATCCTGCAACAGCTCCTTTTAATAATATTAAACAATATCTGCCTATCCCAGAATACTGCAGAATACCTATCTTAGGATAATCTCAGGAGTTCCAAATTTGCATTGAAAGTAAACTGTTCTCTTCTTTAAAAGCTTGCTTTTTTAGCAGGCTTCCTAAATAATTAGAAATGGATGGAGTCTGAATGGTTTTTCTGGCATGTATGTAATCATTTACATAAATAACTTTTTACATCGCTATCAAAAGTTTCTAAATTGTGTACGTGTGTGTTTGCATTACATTCGGATGTAATGTGAATATATACCTATATGTGTGTGTAATAGAGACATATGGGCATGATGCTGTGTTTGCACAGCATCTGGCTAGAGATTAAAATGCTTTCCTAGGTGCAGGATAAATTCTGCCTTTTCTCCCTAGGTAGTCACAAAATGGAAGAATAATAATGTAAATAGAAATAGTTTTAAAATATTTATTTCCTGTATTTTGTGCTGACAAGTCTCAGGAGTGCTGTTTGCAATATGATAGAAAGGTAGTGGTATTTTTTTTTAAATAAAGGCATGTTTCATACTTCAAATAGCATTAAACAGAAGAACTGTCATATGATCTGGAATTTATGCTGCAAAATCAAAATCCTAGATCTTAACTGAGATGTAAGCCTGTGCATGGGCTAAATATTTCACACTCATCATTAAATATTCCTCTATGTTAAAGCCAGCACCTCTAATACATAAATCTTTATATTAAGCATTATAAAACCATTAGAGACTACACTTTGCATTAGAACAAGTGCTGTGTATATAATAGACAGGAATTCAGCTATTAAAATTCTTAAAACCTTCAGGCTAAAGTGAGAATAGCACAGGCACAGGCTGACCATCTCTGTAAAAGCTACATCAAATGGACTGAAAGCATGACATGGTTTGTTTGTTTTTTGCTTCTATGGAAGTGACTTGAAAATTCAACTATTGAGCACAGTTCTTTGAAAACTGCTTGGTCACGTGCACTTTTAGGCACAGCACTTGAAAGCAATAAGAATTCTAGTAATAATGTTTCTTGTGATAAAATGGCATATGGGTGGCCATATGCCTGGGTGCACATATCTCAGTAATGCCTGCTTCTCCTCAGTGGTCTTGCCATCTAAAGAAAGAAACAGCTTATGTTTCAGTCTTACTCCATGTTTGGGCATCATCGCAGGGAATCTGGCAACCCAGAAGAAATGTATTGATTGGGGATATGGACTCAGGGATAGTGAATAAAAGGAGATTTTATTAGAAGCTGGGCGGGGGTGGGGTAGCAGTGGCACATATGGGGAATGTTGGGGTGCTTTCTGTCATTTGCAGCTGATTGTTGTCAATTCTTAATCTCACTCCAAATCTTCAGATGCTGGATTGAGTTTAGGTCCCATTTTTCTGGGTTCTCTAAAAGTTATTTTATTTTATTTCTTTGGAACATACTTTTATGTTCTCTAGTCGCTCTCTCTTAACACTCCTTAGATCACTCTATGTTATTTAGGATATCAGTGTCTTTTGTTTGATAATTATTTTGATGGGATTGTGTGGACATTCCTAAGTGTGTGATTTTCATGTGCTTTGGGCTGTTGGAAACGCTTGCTCCATTCTTCTTTCTGGAAATCTATTAGTTGCCTGTCTTAAGGCATAATCCTATATGTAGCTCCTTTCTGCTAATTCTTGCATCCACTTTCTGCTATCCAGAAATTTAACTCCTGCCTGTATTTGTTGATAATGTCTTCAATTCTCTTACAAAGTTGCTACAGGAGGTTTAGCATAGGAAGCAGGATTCTAACCTTCTGCAATTATTTTATTTTCCAATAGCGTACGTGAAAGCTTAGGGAGAAAGTTCAATGAGCCCTTGCAATGTCTTGCACTCAACAAGCCAATAAATGCATTTGGCAATTTTACATTCTATGCATTAATTTATATTCCTTTTATTATCCACTCATTGTCTCTTTATTTCTTTATCCAAAGCAGTCCTTTCTATCCCATCTCAAGAATCAATTATGGGGATTTTTCCTCCCCATGTTTGACCAGCCTGATATTGTCATCCAAACCCAATGTATGATAAGTAGTATTTTGGAAGGGTTTGATTGTATATCCTTCTCTTCTCTTCGGGGCACTGGAAAATGCTGTGATGTTAGGAGAAGAATGTGTCTGTTGTGTATTGTTGGTTAAAATGTGTCATTAGATAATGGTTATATACCTCATCTGAAGAACATTTTAAATGTATACAAAAGGTAATACTCTGTTTCTTTCCAGTAATTCATAAACCTATAACAGTTAGGGCTATTTTATCATGGAAATTGTATCATACTTGTGTGTGTCTGTTATTTCCTTGACTAATCAATGGAAAGTGATTATTCCTTTTACCTTTTTTCTGTGCAGCTTTCTTTCTTTTATGCATTGTGATGGACTCTATGTACTCCATGGGTCCTTATTTTATTGCAGCTTATTAAACTTTTTAAAATGTCAGCACTGGTGTGGTGTGATGAAGTTTAATATAAATATTTTCAAGCCATGGTCCATAATTCACTAGTGTTTCACAAGTTTTGTTCAGCTGATTAATGGAAAATTGAGCTGATTATCAATTTCAGTGGCTATTTTGAGACACAGTTGTAATGGATACACCAGATACTGAACCTTTGAAAAATCAGAAATGATTGATAATATCTTCTTTGTTAATTATATCCCCCAATTTAACCTATGAGACTAAAACAGCCCCTCCTTCACCTGGCTTCATTTTATTGGTGGAAATTATAGAGACAATTGTAGTAATGGAGAAACAGCTATCAAAATCCTGAGGAAAGCTGAAAATCTGCAGAGGTTTTAACTCTGCTGCTTGGACATTCTAGATATTATAGTCAAAATACATGGACACACCAGAGGAAGGAAGGCTGGCCCAAGTATGAAAAAGGGTCATAAGAATTTTTTTCAGTGCTGTTGTAACTTTAAACAGTCATTAAATGAACTGTTGTAAATCGAGGATTTCCTGTATGTAGATATTTCCCCCTCCCCTTGGCACTGCTGCTTACATGAGGTGTCTTAAATGTCACTGCTGCTATCTCCATGCCAAACACTGGACAAGAGTTAAGAGAGAATTGCTAACTTCTTACAGCTTACTCCTCCCCTTTCCTCCACCTTCCCTCTCCCTTCCAAATTATAGCAATAGTTCAGTCACAAGGCTAAGTGGTAACAGAACTATTAAGCCAGAAATGGGCTCTGTTACAATTCTCATGCTGGTGTTTCACTTTGGTCTAAAATAAAAGCAGAATGTAGTAAAATCTTCCAGTCTTGAAAATCTAGTCTGCTAATTTTTGCAATTTATGTCCAAATGACGCAAATATCTTTTCTATTGATTTCAAGTTTCAAAAAGGGCACATGCTTTTTCTTTTTTTCTTTTGTAAGAATAGTGTTTTTAAAAGTAGTTCTTTAATTTTCCAATTATCTTTTCAGTTTATGAGACCAAAAACCAGGAGTTTTGTAAACTGAAACATAAATCTTGGCTAAAATATTAAAATACTTTTTTTAAAAAAAGCAGATCTGTTGCTAGACACATTTGCATGGATGCATTGTATAGATCAAGGAACAAAAGCAGGATTGTATGAAAACCTGCTGCAAAGATTATTTGTGAACAGTGCTGCGAAGATATATGTGTATATAGTGCTTTCAAGTCATTCTCGACTCCTGGAATTGCTCGGATGAGTCTGCACAATATATTTTTGGCTATATTTTTAAAAGTGGTTTGCCATTGCCATCTTCCAAGGGTGGAGAAAGATTGGTACAGGTGACTTCTAACCTGGTACCTTAACTGCTACACCAAATTGGCATGCATACATGCATCCCTACACACATATAATAGAGGTTGTATAACTAAAAGGCAGAGGAATAACAACTTTGATTTTGTTAACTGGAATTTTCAGTCTATTGTTTCCTGTTTTGGTTAGGAAGGAGAGAGAGTGCTGAAATAAATATGTTGAATCCATCATATCTATTTTTCTTTGGTTCCCATCAAGAAGCAACAGGGATTGGGTGACAAAAAGTACTCCATCATACAAGGAAGAGGAACACTCACCATTCTGATCTTTTTCTTAGGAAACAACAACAGCATATTTTACTTGGACAACCATTATAGGCATTGGAGGATGGCACATATTTGTTACAGAGAGAGATGATTAGTTTCATGTCTATGAATAAATTAATGTTATCATCCCATGAAAAATAACAAACTACTTTTTCAAAATCTATAACAAGACTGCTGCCCTAAAGAAAGTATACTGTATAAAATTGAATGTTAGCAGTTCACATGATCACTCAAATGTTGCACTGATTAGACTGTTGGGACACCAAAAGTATTGTATTCAATAATGTTGATACAAAGCTTAGTGCAATTTTCAAATGCAGAGTTTACTGAGACACCATTGCTTCACTAGTTTAAAGAGCCAGTAATAAATCTGAGTTAAGGAATTGTGCAGCGCAGAAAAATTAGAAAAAAGTAGACAAAGAAAACATTTTTTTTATTTCAAATAAATCCATTCCAGGCTTTGACTCATATTATGATCCAAGGAGGTGTTAGATGAAAATTGTAAGAGTTGAAGCCAACATTTCTAAGTGTATATATAGCGTGGAGGATGAGTTGGCCATAATCAGCTAAATTTAAGCATATAAGCATGATCCAATGTCATTTTGTTTATTCGGACATATGTATTGGATTGGCAGATATAATGTACAAATTCAGAAATATGCTATTCTGTAGATTCTAATAGTTACCATTAGAAATAAGAAATCGTTAAAAAGGTTATATATTTTGTATCATTGCCCTAAAAGTTCAAAAATTGCACTTTCTGAATACATTTTTTTTTTCAGGGTTTCTAGAATAAGAATGAAAAATATTGGGAAGCATACGAGTAGTGAGTAAAATGTAAATCTGTAAATCATGTATTCAAATCTGCTTTGGCCTTACTTGGTTATCATTTACATTTAAGCAAATCTCAAAAGAGCCATAGCAGAATAAACCTCAGCTTTATTCCACTCACCCACTTTCTCTTAGCAAGCAATAGCACAGGTCCCAAAGTAAGCCAGGGAGTGTAGGCACAAACTCAGAAACAGAGATAACTCATATGTACCTTGAAAAAGAAGATTCTGCAAGGACTCACTAGCTTCCTGCATGTCCCCACAGGAAGTAGAAGATGGCTTTATTACTGCTATTTCTTTATTACTGTCAGTTTAATGAATACCATGCATACACTTATACACTATTTCGCCCTCGGGAGTATCTTACTGAAACTGCTGTACAATAAAATCTGATGTTTTAGAAACGGTTACCTTGAGATTGCACGTGTCGCATGTGCTCTTGAGCTAGTGCCAAGGAGTTACCTTTCCAGCGGAGCCTCTTGTTTAAAAATAAAAAGTTTCAAATGACACCTGGCTGAGGTTGTCTTGGAAACAAGAACATTGGTAGAGTTTAAGGCCTCAAAGCTCTCATCAGATTGTGATGGCTTAATAACTGCATTCTTGCAAGGCTGCTGCAGGATAATGCCTACCAAGAGCTTATTTAATATTTGAATAAGCCCTCAAGGTGACTTAAAAGAATGTGACATCACGGTGCTATAAAGGTGATAAGATAATTTATGGAGAACGGATTATTGGGAATTAGTGTCAGGTCCCAAGGTTACTTCCAGGGCACGGGAAGCAGGCCTTCAGATATCAGCTGCAGGGGAACAATGCCGGAAAGGTGCATCCAGTATCTCCATTTCCTACTTCCAAGCATCCAGTTATATCTGGGTAGCCCCTGTGAGAAACAAAATGCTGCGCTAAAGGGGGCCTTTTCTCAGTCCATATCTATTATCTGATGAGGTTTCAAAAGCCGGAAAAGGATAAATATTTTCTATCAGTAGGATCCCTACATGGAAAGATAGGAATGCACCCACAATGGCAGATAGTGGGACAGCCTACAGATATACTGGTTAGCTGCAATACAGGTAGTCCTTGACTTACAAAGTTCCTTTAGTGACCATTCAAAGTTACAATGTCCCTGAAAAAGGTGACTTATGACCATTTTTCACACTTATGACCTGTGCAGCATCCACATGGTCACATGATCAAAATTTAAATGCTTGGTGACTGACTCATATTTATGACGGTTGCAGTGTCCTGGGATCATGTGATCCCCTTTTGGGACCTTCTGACAAGCAACGTCAATGGGGAAGCCAGTTTTACTTAACAATTTACCAACTGCAGTGATTCACTTAACAACTATGGCAAAACAGCCCTAAAATGGGGCAAAGCTCACTTAACAAATGTTTCACTTAGCAACAGACATTTTGGGCTCAATTGTGGTTATAAGTTGAGGATTATATAAGTGGGATATAGTATGATAAAAAAGTCAATCATGAGTGGCAGGATCAGGACAACATGAGGGTGAACACAGTTGTACAAAATGTCACAGCAGCAGAAAGCTCACACTCTGATAAGAGGGTGAATAGGGATTGCTTTAAAAGTCCAAGCCATCTGCCTTATGACCAGGCAGCCACCGGTGAAGTTGCAGCAACTCTCTTGGTTCTGGCATCCTGAGAAAAGAATCAATGGCAAACTACGCCTCTAGATACATCAATAATTTGAAGGGAGAAAAGTTCAACAAGAAAATGTCATTTTGCCAACCAATGTGCCAAGAAACAAATCAGCTTGGAAAGCTTTTGGCCTTAGAACCCCCTGAAGTTAGCTACAACATGACAGAAAATAATCACAACATAATCTGGAACTAGCAGCCCTGATGTCTAATAGATAGCCTTGCTTTTCCCAACCAGCAGCAAAATAAATTATGCAAATAAGCTGCAAGTGTATTTCTTAATTTGTGTGTGTGTGTGAGAGAGAAGGCCAACTTTCGTAAAATTTGTGTCTACAGTAATACAGAAAATCTAGTTTGTTTTTGTAACTTAAAGCTACTAATATTACTTGTATGTGTCAACTAATCGTAAGCAGTACAAACAAAATTCATTTACTGAAATGAAACCTTGAGCAAATTGTTCCTGCTGTTAAAGTCCTCCACAAAAGCCTTTTCTCAAGCAGGAATTTGGAGACAGAAAGAAGACATCTCAGCTTATTTTATTTTAAATGCCTTGCTCTATCTTATTCCCACTGGATATAGCAAAGTGCCAATCTCATTCCTCTCTCATTTACAGAAGGAGAAAGGTTCTATTTTATGGGAAGGCCTGCTGCATCCGATTGCAGGGCTGAAAAATAATACAATAAGCTGAATGCAAGAGATACATGCTGTTTATCTTCCTTCCATGAATAATGATTGATGTAAACAAGGTTATTCTAGAGGTGATAACAATGGATGGTAGAACTGACATCTTCCATCAATGCAAACTTATTTGTTACAATAATCAAGTGATATGTAGCAAAAATGATTTTATGGTATAGAAGACTGAGATAAAAGTAAGGAATCAAAGAAATGATCGTGGCAATTGGAG